ATGATTCTATGATTTTCTTCTTGTTTGTTTTAACATCTGGATCCACGTTTATACTGTAGTGTTGCAGTTTTAAGTTTTTTCAGTTTGTGGATGCCTGTGTTTTTTCCAATGGAAGGGCAAGTTCCTTTAGACATTTCATTATGTAGATTGTTGTCTTGATGCATATGACATTCTTCTCATACTGATTTTACTGCAACTATGAGTGGAGGAGATTGTGCTCATATTTATTCCTTCTGGCTGCTGTGCCCCATAAGAACAGAGGGGACTGTATCTCAGCGTTTCTTCCAGCTGCTATGAAGTAAGCAGGTAGAAGTTGTTCACTAGCAACAGAGAAAACAAGAGATAAGGCAGCAGCGGGGGCTTTGAAGTAGGAGTTTGCAAAGTTAGAGATCTGGACTAAGGAAGGTGTTGGTGTGGAGACAGGTTAGACTGAATAGCTCACAGTTAGAAAGCGGGATTAGCTAGGCATGGAGGCTCGGAAAGTGTAGAAGGATGGTAACCTGGTGCAGGGGAGACAGCACTGTGTCAAAAGCAGAGTACAGTGGTCAGTGACATCTATAGCATGTGCTTGTCCACGATGTGAAGCAAAGCCAAAGATCAGTCTTACTCCTGCTCTGTTATTGGCAATCTGTGTAAAAGATGGGCAGATTGTAGGAATCATCTCATCCAGTGCCTGTTCCCTAATATAGGGTTACTGCCTCATTTCAGTTGTTTAAGTAGTAGAAGTCAGTGCTATGGCTCTGGCAGCTCCAGCTTTGCTGGTAAAACCTGATGTGGAGCAGCATAATGCTAATAACGCTTCTGTCTTTCCTTAAAGAAAAAGGCAAAGTCATAAAATTCAAGTACTTTAATTCTGACTTTCTTAACTTTCATGTTGCCTGTCTAGTATTAATTTAGTTTACTTGTCTACATATATTAAGAAGGACATCATAACTTTAAGACTGTAAACTCTCTTTTCTGTAGGTCTCTTGGAGACAGTAACTTCAGTTCTTCTTCATCCCAGCATGGCTGCTCGACTTGCTGCCGCATGGTGCTTGCGGTGTGTAGCTGTGGCATTGCCTTTTCAGTTGACTCCATTTTTAGATAGATGTGCAGAAAGACTCAACAATCTGAAGACCTCCCCTGAAGCTGTTAGTGGCTACAGTTTTGCAATGGCTGCTCTGTTAGGTGGTGTGCATCAGTGTCCCTTAGGTATTCCTCACGCCAAAGGAAAGGTGAGATAACGAGTGTTTCATATGTGAGTGTACTAAGTGTTACCTTTTTATCTAGAAGTAATAGCTTTGCAAAATGTGTGACATGGTAACAAGTTAAAGCATTATTGAAATTGAACTTGGAACTTGTGCCTAGCCAGAGAGCAATGGCCAGATCATGTGTTTGTAGTATTTCAGTTGCAATATTTACCAGCTTTTTTCCCCTCTCTCTTTCAAATTTGGATTCTTGTTTGGCATATTAATGAATAATTGCTGAAGAGAATATTACTGTCTGTATTGTCATATGATGCAAAACAATGATCATCTGCATGAAAAGTAATTGCATTCATTCTTTATGGAAGGTCAATTTAAATGATTTGAGAACACCTTTATGTATAGTCTGTAAGGGTGGATGTGTAGCAGTGGCTTGCAGTGGCTTAATTTATATTTTTAAAATCCATTGGGTTTTGTCATTGGTGCAGATGGTGGTCAGTATTGCTGAGGATCTGTTACGAACTGCCGCACAAAACAGCAGACTCTCCTTGCAGCGGACTCAAGCTGGATGGCTTTTACTCGGAGCGCTTATGACTTTAGGTTTGTAAAAAAGGTTGCTTTTTGTTTTATTTTAATGCTTGTTCAACTTGTCTGATTATCTCCTGTGGCAAATGGTCTCAACATATAATCAGTCCCATATCTAGCACAAGAGTATTTATACCAAGGGAAACAGAGTGTTAGTGCATTTATTTCGGCAGTGTTGTTTATGCTGGGGAGAAGTGAAATATTAGTGTTTATGTAAGCTGAGGATAGTAGAAGGTGTCGTACCTAAAAAAAAATTCTGCTCTGTTTTTAGAAACCCAGTCTTTAGTCATTCTATGAAAAGGGCAAAACTGTGCGTACTCTTCCTTCCTTAATACTGTGGTGCAGAAGAAATGGACTGTAAATAAAACGTAATGAGCATTCCAACAAGTTGTGCCTCTGGATAGGCAACAGTCCTGATTAGAAGTGTTATCAGTTTAAAAGCCATTCAGCTGTCTTTTAAAAAAGCCAGCCTCATGTTCATATCTGCCATCACAGATATACCAGAAGCGATATTTTGAGAGGTTATAAGTATACTCTTGAATTTTGCAGCAGCAGCAGTGTGTTTTGTTTGGGGTTTTTTATACTGGAAAATATGATAAAGTTCTGATGCATTCTGCAGCATTTTGATCTCTCAGCAAATACCATTTTGTGTTTCATGTTGTTTCTCTAAATTGTCTCTTTTTTTGCCAGCTTATTGTCATGTTTTTCTAACAGTGTAGCCCTATTTTGGTTGTCCTTCTCCAATATATTCTTAATGCGCTTGCACTGGATCTTCTGGAGCTTTTTCAGAAGCTTTCTTTAAACTTGACCATTAAACTAGTTACATAATCAGTAACTCAGTTATTTTTCTACTCATTTTATGAACAAGTTAGGATAGGCTAAAGAGCTTGCCTTCAAAATAGTAATATAAAAAAATCAGAAGTCAGAATAAAAAGATACTAAAAAGACAGTTGGCAGTGGTTACATATTACATGACAATGTATAGAATTGCCTGTTTCCTATTTTTAGTACTGATATCAACAAACAGACTTACCTATACTATTTATTTGCCATACTTTGAACCTAGAAATGAGAAAGAATTTCCTTTGTTTTTTGTTGTTCAAGTAGGGAGAAAAGGAAGAGAAGTGAAATAAGAAAAAAATAGCTTAAAGAGCAAAAGCCTTCATGGCAGATTTTTCACACTTAGTTAAATACAAGTTTTTATTATACTGTCACTTTATTTTTTTGCATAGGTCCTTCTGTTGTTCGGTATCATCTGCCTAAGATGTTGCTGCTATGGCGAAACGTGTTTCCACGTTCGTTGAAGGAGTTGGAAGCAGAGAAGGCGAGAGGAGATTCTTTTACCTGGCAAGTAACGCTAGAAGGCCGCGCTGGAGCTCTGTGCGGTAAGAATTTCAAACTTCAAGATTACAAATGCGCAGTAAACCAAAACTTGATCCCAAGTATTACAGAGAGAACTCTCGTAACTTCGCCGCTTTCTTTGAAAATGAATAAGTTGTATCAGATTTTCATCAATGTGACCTGGTTTTGGCATATAGTTTTATGAACATGTCACACACTCTTTGAATAAACACTTTCAATTGCTGCTTTTTTGATATTCTCTTAGGATCTGTATCTTGCTCATGCTTTATATTTGTTTGTTTCAGTAAAACTTTAGTTTAAACTATTTTGTTATTAGCTATGAGAAGTTTTGTTGCTCACTGTCCTGAGCTCCTTACTGAGGATGTGATCAGGAAATTGATGACACCCATAGAATGTGCCATGACAATGATGTCGCAGTAAGTAGGCAGTTTTTGCTCTTTATTCACTTTTGTCTTTTCCCGAACCTGAAATACTGGAACTAATTTGTTTTAATTCATATTCTGACCTAGTACTGCGCTGTTGCTGCTTGTCCACGTTGAAAAAAACTTTTATGAGTATTGTGTTTATGGTAGTTAGCTTTGTAAAAGTATATTATTGCACAGCCTGTGCTGAAGGGCCTACTGTGGTAACTTCTGTTAACTGTGTTTTGAATTTCCAGTTCAGTGAGCTTTTGGATTCACGGTTTGCTTATCCTTGTGCAAGAAATGAGAAAACTAAGATACTGGTATACTAGATGTTAATCAATAAACTCTCCTCTTACGAAATGTACTAATGAAAAGACTTTAAGCGTGTTACAGAATACAAGCAAAACCACATTTTTTGGTTGGGTTTTGTGATTTGGTTTCTGTCCCCCGCCTGATTAAAATAGAAGTTTCTTATGAGGAGGTACATGTCTTTAATTTGCAGCAGTGTGTGTTTTAAAAAAAAAAAAGTTTGGTCTGTACAATTACCTCTGAAAATGCACTGATAATTGAGTGATGTTGCTGAGAGTAGTTCTCTGAACACTGTTTTCTTGTCTTGGATAGAGGCATATCTTGTGAAAAGAAATCTGAAAATACTCTTTTCAGTAACTGCAGTATTTCTGGTTGTCTCTTTCTCTTTTGATTCTCTAGCATTCCATCAGTAATTAAAGCCCATGGAGCTCATCTCAAAGCTAGTGCAGCTATGGTCCGTTTAAGACTTTATGATATATTGGCTTTATTACCTCCAAAGACATATGAAGGTACATACATTTTTAACAGTTTTTTTTAAAGTAGATATTCTACTTACTCCTTTTGATGTATTTTTGGTGCTTGCCTTTGAAGCAGATACAAGATTCAAAATAGAATACTAGGAATCTCTAAGAGTCATGTACTATATTCCTCATCTTCTGTATGTCATCTTGACAGTATAACTACAGAGTATGAATATTGCAAAATGTTGGAGTAACACTTTGAGTATAAAAGTTACAGTCCCATTTATAGGACAGAGAGGTATGGAGATCATGTTCTGAAATCTAATTTAGGTGTTTTATGTTGTTGTTACTTAAAAGACAGAAAACATTATTTCTTAATGTACTCAAAGGGCAGATGTGAGAATGAAGATTTAGTTTTGGTTTCTGGTATTTATGGGTTTTTTTAATCAGATTTGATCGATTAGACAGATTTATGCTATTGTTATTAAATTGCCAGGCACTGTCATAGGATCTGATGTGATCTGACAGATTAGCTTTTTGGGTTTTGTTTGGGTTTTTTTGTTAGTTCATTAAATTTACATGATTATGTGGATGAGCAAATTTTTGCAAAATCTGGATTGCCATCCTGGAAGGGATGGCCCGACCTGTTGTTTAGAACATTGATTTGGGAATTGGGAGTCCAGGGTTCTGTTTGAAGCCTCGCTCTGTCTGTCTGCTACCTGTAAAATCGAAGTAATGGTACATACTTTGATTTGTAACTTCTGATCACTAGCTGAAATGTTTTGGATAAGAAGCAGCAATGATTCTTTTTAATGTCGGTCCTTTTAGGATCATTTAATGCGCTTCTTCGAGAGTTGGTAGCAGAATTTACTTTGACAGACAACTCTGCTAATACAACCACATCACTCCTAAGGTCTCTTTGTCATTATGATGATAGTGTTCTTCTTGGCTCTTGGCTGCAGGAAACGGATCATAAGTCAATTGAAGACCAGGTAATAAAAAACTAGAAGAATAATGAATTATTTGCACTATCTGTCTGTGTGATGTGTGTGGGGGGGGAAGCCTTCTAAAACTGAAGCTTCATGCCTTGTTTTTAGTCTTATTTCAGAGGTTTGTTAGATATAAGTCCTTCCATCTACAGTGTACTGTTTGATTAAAAACTGAGACATAAATTGCATAACACTACTGATACGGTTGTGGTTGGTGAACTAACCTAATTTTTTTAAAAAAACCCAATGCTCCCTGCCCCCCCCGCTCCGATCTTCCTAGTCTAGTAGTTGTTCTCTTTTTTTGAATCAGAAGAAATGTTAAGTTCCACTTAGCAAGATTTAACTGGTTTTGTAGGTGTAGTATGAAATCTTACATTTCATTTGGAAGTGTCGACACAATTTTGTTGGCATTATAAGGAATTTGCTGCACATCTAAAAAAAGTGAGTCTTTGAAACATAGGAATTAAAAATTTAAAAAAAAGGAAGCAAGTATTGCTATGGGGGTCTCTCTTAATAAAATTTTTCAGATCAACTGGTAATGTTGATCCAGTTACCATTTTTCATATGGCCCTTGGACAAGGAATGTAGCATAGGGAAGAATTTGTTAATGTTCAATAGTTTAGGAAACTGTCTGGTGATAGTCTTCTCTTTGCTTTCCTAACTTGTGGTGACTAGGAAGCGGCTGGCTGCCTCTTTTCAAGCCTTTTACCCTCATATATTTCAGGACTTAATGGCATGGAGAAAAATGTTTGTCCATTTGGGTATACCCACCAACCTATCTCTGTCTTCATAATTCTGCTCTGATTTTTGATTTCTCAGTGAACTGTATTCCCTAGACAACTAACCGTTC